GCAAACACATTTAAAATAGTTGCTGAGACTGTAGTAACTGTTGAAACTTACAATCTGCCCACCAAACATGCAGGAAAAAATGCATCTTTATTTCAGTAACAGAGCTAGTAATTGATTCATCTACTCCCCCCGCTAATAAAAATTTGAGGATTGGCCGGGGCTGGAACCCGATATTCCAAGCGAAAAGACTTGGACAATCCCACTACGCCACACAGGGCTGCCCCCCCCTCGAGAAAACACGGATCTAATATATAGAGCGCTGAGTGATTGAGCCGGTGCGTATGTGCAGGACGCTTAAAATGCTCTTATATGCAAGTTAATGCAAATGTTTGCCTATGATCTGCTACTCCTGTGCATTTTAGTATTCTCTTATTATGGTAAGCTATATGTAACATGTGTAGTTTTAAATTGTTGTTTTGCTAATAATACATTTAGTATTTCTGGAATATCCGTTTGTATACCTTCAATATCAGGCCGGACCAGGAGGATTGCTCTACAAAAATAACCCCAAAAAACGGTACAAAAGTCCCCCCCAACTATTTTGTTGCACCATAACCACAATTATATTTTAAAAACATCCATTTAAAACCCACAGGCCAATAATCCTCAGATTTCTGTTAACACACTTAAATGTAACAGAGAGTTTTTCCATAGTGCAAAATCATGTAGCCGTAATTTACAAATATAACCTTGAAAATGGTTAATTTTTCACAATTATGATATAATTAATATATTTTGTGTGGTTTAGCTAAGTATTAAGGCATCATTACAGAGAAACCTTGCTCACAAAGGTATCAGTTAGTAGGTAGACACAAAAAGCAACATTAACACCGCACCTGACCTGCCAGGCATTTTTTCATATTTGAGAAGAGCAATCTCCAGCAATTTCAGGTGATTTTGGACCAAACTTTGGAAGTGCCACAGAATATTCCATTTTTTTAGAACAATGTAAACTCCAAGGGCACCAAATTAAAGATTCACCACTCTGCTTTACCTCTGAAAAAAAACAGTTTTTGTTTTCCTACCACTTTACCGTATTTTTTCTTGCGTTATTGCGCCATAGAACCAAAGCAAACAAAACTTTCACCCATAACAACCTGGTCTGATCAAGAAACAGAGAAAAGAGCTGTAATGTAAACTGGAACAGAATTCAAAGCAGAACAGAGACTTTTTAAATGCAATTTTTTTCTGCTTTAGTGACAACTCCAAAACATCTTCACACTTTTGTTTCCAGTTACAAAAAATATAAAAAACATGACTCCCTGAAAATACTACTTTTTGATTTGGCAAATTGCAATTGCAATTTTTTATTCCACATAGAAAAATTAACTTTCTTCTATAACATCAACCATAACCTCAAACAACATCAACACAAAGATCCAATAAAACCTAATAGATGTAAAAATAGAAAGTGAAAGCTATTGAATTTTGAGTGTGTGTGGTGAACTGTTCCAGTGTGCAGTGAGATGTGCATGTGTGAGTGAAGTGTCAGTTGTGCGATGCGTGAGTGTCATGTGTGATGTGAGTCGTCGTGTGAGTGAGGCTGTTTGTCGAGTTGTGTCCCGAAAAATAAAATACCTGACAGGTTCTCTGCAGAACGGAAATCCGAAGGCATTCAGTAACAGCAGCATGCTGATACGCTGCGGGAGAGGCGGAAGTGGGGGTCTCCCCTATTGCTTCGGGCTCCTTGCACCGCGCAAATATGCTGCAGACGACGGACTTCCGACCGGGTGGTCCTCCCCTCTCTCTCCCCTCTCGACCTCACTTCACTGGATTCCGCGAGATCAATCTCTGAAGCAGTGTCATACTGCTTAAAACAATCTTTTTCGCCTCCATCCACATCTTGCATCCTACTTATCGCTAAACTAGATCACTGATCCGACTCAATGCTACAGCAGCACCGCTGCTTACAGCACCCACGCTTTTTCTCACACTCCCCACAACTCCCCCTCCTTCCTCCTCCACTGGAACTTATGACCCTCTCCTGTGGTTGCACTTACTGCATCCATACTGGTGGTATTATATTCAATACAGAGTAACAGTTGCTACTTATAATATCAGTGTTGTGGGTTCATTCACAAGGTGCGCCAGAACATTTACTGAGCCTCCCGTGTAAATATACACGAAAAAACTCGTCAAAACTTCCCGTCCATGGGCAAGTGGAAGCGTTACATTTTCAACCATGACGCATTTTTTTTTTTATGTACGTCCATGGGCAGTGGAATAATTATTTTAAACCACCAGCACCCCTCCACTTAACCATCTTCAGTGTGGTAAGGTCCATGGTTATGTTATTATCACATTAACCATCTTCAGTGTGGTAAGGTCCATGGTTATGTTATTATCACATTAACCATCTTCAGTGTGGTAAGGTCCATGGTTATGTTATTATCACATTAACCATCTTCAGTGTGGTAAGGTCCATGGTTATGTTATTATCACATTAACCATCTTCAGTGTGGTAAGGTCCATGGTTATGTTATTATCACATTAACCATCTTCAGTGTGGTAAGGTCCATGGTTATGTTATTATCACATTAACCATCTTCAGTGTGTAAGGTCCATGGTTATGTTATTATCACATTAACCATCTTCAGTGTGGTAAGGTCCATGGTTATGTTATTATCACATTAACCATCTTCAGTGTGGTAAGGTCCATGGTTATGTTATTATCACATTAACCATCTTCAGTGTGGTAAGGTCCATGGTTATGTTATTATCACATTAACCATCTTCAGTGTGGTAAGGTCCATGGTTATGTTATTATCACATTAACCATCTTCAGTGTGGTAAGGTCCATGGTTATGTTATTATCACATTAACCATCTTCAGTGTGGTAAGGTCCATGGTTATGTTATTATCACATTAACCATCTTCAGTGTGGTAAGGTCCATGGTTATGTTATTATCACATTAACCATCTTCAGTGTGTAAGGTCCATGGTTATGTGTTATTATCACATTAACCATCTTCAGTGATGGTAAGGTCCATGTTATGTTAAATCACAATTAACCATCTTCAGTGGAGTAAAGGTACCATGGTTATGTTATTATATCACATTAACCATCTTCAGTGTGGTAAGGTCCATGTGTTATGTTATTATCACATAGTAACGCATCAAACTGGACCATGATAGGTTTAGTTTATGTCATCAAAAACAACTTCCATACCTAAAACGCCAAGGCAGTTCATCTCACCATCAACATGTACTTCTTTGCAATTTTGACTTCCATAACGTGATCCATTCTTAACGTACTGCAGCCAGTGTCCTCTGTGTAAAATACAGTCAAATGTCCCAAAAATCATCACCTCCATTTTGCAGCTTTGTCACTACACCTGTTTGTTTTACCGATCTGTACACCGGTTCCACGCACGGTCCCAACACTGACCTAAGCAACACAAGCAAGAACCAGCAGCAGGCAACCAGCAGCAGCAGCGCTCAAAAACTCCTCTGATAGTTTTCAGTAACACCACACAATGAATAATGTGAACATCAGTAACATCAGTCTCTTATCAATGGCAACATGTTGGTAAAAGCGAGTGGGTTTTCTCAGACCATGTCTGCAGCCTGTGAGAGGTATTTAACAAACTCCTCTCTCATGGTCGCTGGCGAGCGAATGCTATAAGGTGTGTTAGCACAGGTAGCTTCCCTTTACAGCAGCAGAACTAAACCTCTCGCTCAGGGCACAAACAGACTGCTGTGTCTTCAGGGCCAGACAGGTTTATCTTCTGTTGTCTCAATTCTTTCTTTTCGCTCAAAGGTGCCGTAGTTTTTTTCGCCGAGTCTGTGTATTTAAGATGTTATATTTCCTTCAGCACCGCTCTGGTGGAGCCACTACAGACGCACCTTGGCTCACCCCCCTGAGCGCGGCGCGCTGCGTCGCGGCGCCCTTCCGCGGCGCCGGAAGGCTCGCGTCGCGAGCGGCTTTTTTAAAATGTAAACTTTATTATATTTTTACTTTTCCTCTTGCACTAGATTTTTTACTGTTCTCACTAGCAATGCGGTATGCCTCTGACATGCGCTCGGCCCATTTTTCTGCATACCCCTTAGGTGAGTATGTTTCTCCTGCCTCAGCTAAACCAAACAACAGATCTACAGGCAGGCGGGGATTACGGCCATAGAGCAGAAAAAAAGGCGAGTATCCAGTTGCCTCATGTCGTGTACAATTGTACGCATGTACAATGTGTGAGAGATGGTCTTTCCACCGCAGCTTCTCAGTGTCTGTCAGTGTACGTAACATTTGGAGAATGGTTCGATTTAGACGCTCTGCTGGATTACTTTGTGGATGGTATGGGGACGTGCGTGAATGGCCCACACCAGAAAAATGTTGCAGTGTCTTAAACAGTTCATTTTCGAATTCACGCCCCTGATCATGGTGTAGTTTTTGGGGATACCCAAACCAGGGAATAAAATCTTGAAAATGCGTTCGGCTGCTGTGCGTCCACTTTTGTTCTTTGTAGGATAGGCCTGAGCATACCTTGTAAAGTGGTCAATAATCACTAGTATGTACTCGTACCCTCCACGACTGGTCTCTAGGTGTAAATAGTCAATACACACGAGCTCTAGGGGGGAACTTGTACTTATACTACCCATAGGAGCTCGGACGTGTGTCACAGGCTTCTTTGACATGATGCAAGGGCATTTCTGAGTGACATATGACTCAATTTCTTTTGCCATAAAGGGCCAATAGAATCTTTCTCTGGCAAGATGAAGCACTCTTTCAGTACCAACATGTCCCATCTCATTGTGAAGCTGTTGTAAGGCAAGACTTCTGTATTTTGCAGGAAGTACAAGCTGTTTTCTCTCTTTGGTTCTTCGGTATAGGAGTTCGTTTTCCAAGTACAACTTAGTCCATTCATGTAACAGTTTTTGTGCTGCCCCACTCACTGTTTTACGTACCTCCTCTGTCAGTTTTGTTTGTTTTTCTTTCAGTCTGATAACTTGACTGATGGCTGGATCTTCCCGCTGAGCTTTGACCAGGTCACTGTGACTGATGCTCCTCAATTTGGCAGGAAGAGGCTGGTGGGAGTCCGGGGCAGTAGTGTTGAGAGCGGCGACCCAAGCGACGTCTTTCTGCTGGGCGGCGTGGCTCCCATTCCATGCAGCTCGAACAGCCTCATCTGAAAAAATCTCAGTACACTCACAAACAAACTTCTCAATGTCTAGTGGTAAAACGCGAGAGTGTGTCTGCGTCAATGTTCACTTTACCGGGTCTGTATCTTATGTCAAATCTGAAGTCCGAAAGTTCCCCCACCCATCTGTGTCCGACTGCATTAAGTTTCGCTGTGCTCATAACATAAGTCAGAGGGTTGTTGTCGGTATAAATGGTGAAATGGGGTGCATAATATAAATAGTCTCTGAATTTTTCACACACGGCCCATTTCAAGGCGAGAAACTCTAACTTCCCACTATGTAAATAGTAGTTACGTTCAGCTTGTGTCAAAGTCCGTGACCCATAACCTATGACACGCAATATGCCATTCTGACGCTGGTAAAGGACCGCTCCTAAACCCTTGTCAGAAGCGTCTGTGTGAAGAGTGAAAGGCAAATTAAAGTCTGGGTAGGCTAGTACAGGGGGGTTAGTGAGGAGAGAAACTAACACTTCAAGGGCTTCCTGATGTACAAGTGTCTATGTGACAGGCTCTTTCGAATGTAACTGTGGTCGCTTGCTACTTTTTTTACAAGTGGTACTCTGGACTGTGCCTGTCGGTGTCTGAAGCAGTTCGTAGATCGGCCTGGCTATCTTTGAAAAGTCCTGTATGTAAGAGCGGTAGTACCCCAGGAATCCTGCTAGTTTCCTCACGTCTCCCACAGTCTTTGGTATCTTGGTAGTCAATGTTTTAACAGCTTCGAGGTCACGTGGGTCTATCTTGACTCCTTCAGCCGACACAATCTTACCCAAGTACCTCACTTCATTCTTAAAAAGTTCACACTTTTCTGGTCTTAATTTTACTCCATGTTGTTGTAGGGCACGCAGCACTTTTCTGAGACACTCAACATGTTCATCAAAAGTTTTTGCATAGCACAGTATATCATCCAAATAGGGTAGGCAACAGTCATCTCGTAGGGGGCCAAGCATCTCCTCCATGCTTCGTTGAAATGCCGCCGGGGCATTTGTTAGTCCGAACGGGATACGGACCCATTCGTATAGGCCCCAAGGAGTGGTGAAGGCGGTGAACTGGCGGGACGCCTCCGAAACAAAACCCTGGTGGTATGCCTTTCCCTGGTCTAGAATGCTGAACCAGGCATAACCACCAAGAGTGTCAGTCAGATCTTGTATTCTGGGCAGTGGATGTCGATCCGGAACAGTCTTTTTATTGAGAAGCCTATAATCAATACACAAGCGTAAGCTGCCATCTTTTTTTCTGACACATACAACGGGAGCAGCGTATGGGGACTTCGATTTCACTATCCACCCTTTCAACAGCAGTTCTTGTATGTAGTCCTTTACTTCTTTAAAAAGTGGTTTGGGTATCGACGAGTAGGATCTCTGGACAGGGATGCTATCGGTCAGATTGATCGACATTTGTAGATTTGGCATGCATCCAATCTCTGTACTGTCCTGGGCGAAGGCACCCGATTCTTCACAGAGCAACTTGTGTACCTTTTCTTGTTGCTCATTTGTGAGGTGACTTAAAGAAACAGAAGGTTGCCATGGTACTGAGTCAATAGTAGGCGCGGATGTACTGCTGATGGTTACTGTGGGCTCTGCATCCTCCAGTTCCTCAGGGGAATTCGTGTTTATCACTTTATCAAAACTTTGAATACAACCAAGAGCTGTTTTTCTTTTCAAAGTCACTGTGTGTTTGGTGTTGTTGCCCACAGGAATAAATACACAAGGATACTTTGAGTTACGTACCTCCACGAGACCCTCACCAATGTCCAGCTCTGCAAGATGTATGTTATTTGTATCAGGCTCAAAGAGAAATACAGTCTCTGACAAGTTCAAATTTGGTGAAGCACAACACTTAATCCACGCAACTTGACCTGCTGAAATAGTGGTGTCACATTTACCAGTGCGGAGTCTCTCATTTTGAGTTAAGGGTTTGTCGGTTTGAATGAAGTCCACGAGCAGCTCTGCTTTTTCTGTTGGGATGGACATAGCACTACAGAGTAAGTTGGTGAGTGTTGGACCCAACTGTTCCGGTTGCCTTTGAATCACTTCCTCTAGCACGTTGAAACCTAGTATTGGTCTTTCCAGAGAAAAGCTACTAATGAGGAAGGGCACCGTGATAGACAAGCTGGGATCTATGTTACCCATAAGGTTGACTGTGATAGGAACCCAACCCTCAAATGGAAGACAATCACCATTTACAGCATATAGTTTAAAGTCATCCTCTTCCTCAACAATGTCACTAAGTGGTCTAATATTTGTGTCAGGAAGATATTTGTTTTTCCACTCTTTATCAATAATGCTTACTTGGGCCCCTGTATCTAAAAGGGCACCGACTGCAAAGCCGTTAAGATTGCACTGGGTGAGGGCTTTCTTACCAATAAGCTTAGCCAGTCTTTGACTTTTAACATCAGGTAAGTCCGTAGCGACTGCGTTGACATGTTTAGTTTCAGTCTGTTGTTCATTTTCTTTGTCTTTACTTGTGGCAGGTTGGGACATAGAAGAGGATCCGGTCACTGGTTGTCCCTTGACAGAGACCGGTCCCAGTTTCCCTGACGCGATGGTTTCTTGAGGCAGCCCATGGCTCGATGTCCCTCTGCACCACAGTAAAAGCAGTGAGGACAATCAGAACGGTTATCTGCAAGACATGTTGGACAACCGTGTCGCTTTGGTTTCTGATAGTTCCCTTTACTCTTTGTGTATCGGTTTGTTTGTTCAGTCTGTTGTGATTGTAAATGCTCAACCATACTCGTTAGCTTTTCCACTTTCTCTAATAGCTGCCGGATTGTGTCTGTCTTTTTGTCATCGTTTTGTTTCTTCACGTGCGTGACCTCCTTTACAGAAGTGCCCTGAGCAGCATTTACTTCGGTGGCACTATGAACATTAGCATTTCTTGGTCGTGACACAGGCCCAAGACGACGCTGCCTTTCGCTTTCATCACTCATTACTCTCTTCAGATGCTTAAGGATAGCTTCATCAGTGACAGAAGGTTCAGCAAGTAATGGTTTCAGTTCTCTGCGAATGTCACTGTGTTTGTGTCCTAGACCCTGGTACACTGTGTGAAGAAAAACGTCTTGGACTGTGCTGGTAGAATATTTTACATCAGTGGCAATGTGTTTTGATGCCAGCAGGATTTTTTGCTTAAGGCCTATGACTCGATAAAGGAACTGTTGAGGAGTTTCATTGTCATTTTGCTTAGTGCACATCAGTTCTTGGAAAAGTTCAGTATTGTTCTGCTCACCAAGGTGGGAGTGCAAAAAGTCTTTTAATTCGCTTACAGTCAGTTCATCTTTATTCATCAGCATATCTTTGAAAGTACCTGGTTTGATGGCTCTGAGAACAGCTCGGACTATTTCAGTGTCACTAAACTGTTCTTTAAAACCTTCTTCGATCTGGCGACAAATATTGTTATAACTTAGATCTGTCCCTTGATCTCCAATTTGTCCTCCTAGAATTTTGAACTCTCTCCGGTGAAGATAGGAGAGATCCCTTAGTGACAGGACTCTGTCATGAGGGGAGTGCTCACTATTTTGGGCTATGACTTGTGTCTTTGTACAGATGGCTGAAGTACAGGCTTAGCAGCTGGGGGCATGAATAGGGACATTTTCTCACTTAATTCCCCATAACGACTGAGTAACCCTTGTAACTGTGTGCTATATTGGTTCTCAGAAACAGCGTTTGCATTTTCAGGTGGGTTATTGCTATCTTGACTTATTAAAATGTCATTAATCTGTGTGTCTGGGGACTGCGCTCCTTCATCACTTCCACTAATTTTAGCAGACAACTTATGGCTTTGGGTGAGTTGTTCAATTTCATCTTTGAGCTCAAGCAAATGTGACATTCCGGCATCCTCAGACTCTAACAACTGCTCACTGTTCATCACACCACTGATGCACTGGAAACAACTCTCCTCATCCTCTGACGTGACAGGTCCACTCCGGGCATGGGTCCCAGTGACTTGGCGAATAGGATCAGTTCGTCCTCAGGAAGAGTGAGCAGGTCTCTCTTGATGCTCCGCACCAAACTTCTCCTCTCACTATCTGCCATGACTGTCCCCTTTTTCTTTCGTGGCACCCTGTAATCTTTGTCCTTGACAGGCGTTGTTCTGGTACTTGGCAATCTTTAATCTTTACTCATCACCGCTGGCGCGTGAGTGTCGAATCTTCATATGTTGGCACCACCTGGACTGGTCCCTCTGGTTACTGCAGGACTCATCAGGTTTTACCAATACCTTCCCCGTACGGGCCACCAAGAAACTGTTGCAGGTATCGGCCGGTACAATATCTGCTGACATTTTATTATTATTTTTTTATTTGGGGAAGGATTGGGATTGAAACTGAAATTAAAAGAAAAGAGACAGTCACACTCAACTTCGCTCCAGGCTCTCTGCTTGCCGACTGACGCGAAACAGGAGCGGGCGCCTTAAAACTGTCTCCTTACCAGCACTGCCCTCTAGTGGTAGGCGTCAATACTATCTATTTTAAATTTATTTAATTATACGGAATAATGTGACCACACATAGTGGGCGTCACATATACAGAACTGTAGATGCAGACTTTACAAATGAAATTATATAATTAGATATAATCAATATTAAGTATATATTTACATAATAATTAGAATATTTATAAACATTTATGAACAGACAGGTATAATATAGTAACTATATACAATAGCACCAATAGACAGCAGATAGCTAATTTATTTACACGCCACCTTTCCCCCTCCTGGTCATAAAAAGGAGACTGCTGGAACATCTGCGTCTCCATCCCCTGGTCCTTGTACAGGGAGAATACTTTGGCAGGGCAGTAGATGTATTTTCCTGACAGACCAGGGAATTGTGTATGAATGTGAGGACTGGTCCCTGCTTCAGCTGCAGTTTGCAGAACCAGCACTTTCTCCCAGTGGAGGAGGAGACTCATCTCTCTTCCTTATCTTCTCCTGCCGCTCATTCACTCTCTGCTGCGTGGCCTCCAGCTCTCTCTGGCAGAACTCAGTGTCCATAAAGTCTCGGAATGGCATCCTGGAGTTGGTCAAACCCTCTGTGCGATAGGTGTTATAGACCTTGGTGGAGCAGTAGAAATACCTGGTAGGACCCTGCTGGTAAAACTCGTGGATGGAGCTGCCATCGCCCTCATATTTGGATTTTGGCTGGCCACAAGACAGGCATTTCTTTGTGTGGGGTTTATTTGCTGGAGGCTGCTGCTGCTTTTCCAAGATCCGCTGCACAACCTTCTCTATGGCCTCCTCAGACAGCAGTGACATTAGAGTGACAGCAGGCACTGTGCTGGTCTTACTGCCTGCTGTGAGCGATGTACTCCCCCAGCATCTCAGCCTTGTCTGAGGCATCACCTCCTCTCACTCGCACCAGAGTGAGGGCGTTCTCCCTCACCACCTCCTCCCTCTGAGGAGCACCGCACTCCCTCATGGACGGGTCGTCCCTGATCTTCCTCGCCTCCTCCGAAGGGTCCTGCAGCAGGAATCCACGTGGGCCCTTGCGAAAAATCACAGTGACGCGGCCAGGAAAGAATGAAAATGTCTTCATATTGTCTGCAACAACAAAAAAAGATCATAAAATATCTAGCTATAGCATGATAGAGAAGTATGTATAATGTATATATCTTTAGCATAATAAAGAATAAAATAATTACATTTAGCATTATAAAGAAGCATGAATCCTGTATAATCTAGAGAAGACATATACAGTTGTATGTTTACATCTGGAAATTAGCAGCATGAGGCTCTGGGATACAGTAAGTACAGTTATAGAAGGAAAATATGAACTGGTAAAACACTAATACATTGTCGTAAACTAACTGCATATAATTCATTTTCAACTCAATGTGTTGCTGAACTATAGAAATGTGAAATACATATAGATAGTACACACATCAACAATAATTAGCTAATAATAATTAGCTAGCGCTGGAAATACTACTACAACCAGACGTAGACAAACTGCATTACTGTATACAGTAGAATATGACTGAAGCCAAGCAAACATGCGAAAACTATAGTGCTATATCCTCTGGTCTCTCTCTGTGGTGTCTCTCTCTCTTTGACCTCTCTGTAGTCTCTCTCTCTCTCTCTCTGGCGCCTCTCTTCCTCTCACTGTGGTCTCTCTCTGGTCTCATTCTGGTCTCTCTTTGGTATCTCTCTAGTCTCTCTCTCTCGTTGTTCTCTCTCTATAGTCTCCCTCTCTCTCTCTCTGGCGCCTCTCTCCCTCTCACTGTGGTCTCATTCTGGTCTCTCTCTGTGGTGTCTCTCTCTCTCTGGTATCTCTCTAGTCTCTCTAGTCTGTCTCTCTTTGTTCTCTCTCTCTAGTCTCTCTGTCTCTCTAGTCTGTCTCTCTTTGTTCTCTCTCTCCAGTCTCTCTCTCTCTCTCTCTCGCCGTTGTCTCGTTCGCGTTTTTCTCACCGATCTGGCAACTCAAACCTATTTTGTTTGCGTCGCGGGAATCCAGCGTGGGTCCAAACGGTCCAGACTTAAAACAAGTTATTTATGAGCTTTAAACTCACGGAGAGTCACTTTTCTAGACAATAAAGCTAAACCGGACAGAAGGAACAACACAACTGCACGAACACACTGTCTTTGTGATTTGTTTTAACGGGTTTAAAAGACGATTTGGAGCCGGGAGCTAACTGGATGCTAATGCTAACTGCTGCTGTGGAGGGAGCAGGTGTCAGGAAAGTTCTGGAGATTTGCACTGTTTTTGAGGTCGTCAAGAAAAGGCCAGAGGGACACGTGGTTTAGCAGTTTGTTGTTGGTTTTGTGCTGGAAATGGACGCAGCGTTTGGAAGCAGGAGCGTGGATTTGTCAAAGCACAAGTCTGAGGCAGAGTCAGATGAAGAGGTGAGTGATGTTTTAGTATCAGAGAGAGAGACCTGAGAGAAAGATCAGAGATACCAGAGGGAGAGAGACCAGAGGGAGAGAGATACCAGAGGGAGACTCAAGAGCCCAGAGGGAGAGAGAGAGACCAGAGGGAGAGAGATACCAGAGGGAGACTCAAGAGCCCAGAGGGGAGAGATACCAGAGGGAGAGAGAGAGACCAGAGGGAGAGAGAGAGACCAGAGGGAGAGAGAGAGACCAGAGGGAGAGAGATACCAGAGGGAGAGAGAGAGACCAGAGGGAGAGAGAGAGACCAGAGGGAGAGAGAGAGACCAGAGGGAGAGAGATACCAGAGGGAGACTCAAGAGCCCAGAGGGAGAGAGAGAGACCAGAGGGAGAGAGAGATACCAGAGGGAGACTCAAGAGCCCAGAGGGAGAGAGATACCAGAGGGAGAGAGAGAGACCAGAGGGAGAGAGAGAGACCAGAGGGAGAGAGAGAGACCAGAGGGAGAGAGAGAGACCAGAGGGAGAGAGAGAGACCAGAGGGAGACTCAAGAGCCCAGAGGGAGAGAGACCAGAGGGAGAGAGAGACCAGAGGGGAGAGAGAGATACCAGAGGGAGAGAGAGAGACCAGAGGGAGAGAGAGAGACCAGAGGAGAGAGAGAGACCAGAGGAGAGAGAGAGACCAGAGGGAGAGAGAGAGACCAGAGGGAGACTCAAGAGCCCAGAGGGAGACTCAAGAGCCCAGAGGGAGAGAGACCAGAGGGAGAGAGAGACCAGAGGGAGAGAGAGATACCAGAGGGAGAGAGAGAGACCAGAGGGAGAGAGACCAGAGGGAGAGAGAGAGACCAGAGGGAGAGAGAGAGACCAGAGGGAGAGAGACCAGAGGGAGAGAGATACCAGAGGGAGACTCAAGAGCCCAGAGGGAGAGAGAGAGACCAGAGGGAGACTCAAGAGCCCAGAGGGAGAGAGACCAGAGGGAGAGAGAGAGACCAGAGGGAGAGAGACCAGAGGGAGAGAGATACCAGAGGGAGACTCAAGAGCCCAGAGGGAGAGAGAGAGACCAGAGGGAGAGAGATACCAGAGGGAGACTCAAGAGCCCAGAGGAGAGAGGATACCAGAGGGAGAGAGAGAGACCAGAGGGAGAGAGAGAGACCAGAGGGAGACTCAAGAGCCCAGAGGGAGAGAGACCAGAGGGAGAGAGAGAGACCAGAGGGAGAGAGAGAGACCAGAGGGAGAGAGAGAGACCAGAGGGAGAGAGAGAGACCAGAGGGAGAGAGCGCTTAGGGAGAGAGCCCAAAGAGAGCCAACCACAGTACATCTGTGACATCTTAAGCCTAGCGTACATCGGACTGGCAACTGATTATATCCGTCGCCTATGAGTTGCTGCCCCGCACACATCGACAATCTGGCGAAAACGGGCAACTCTGAGTCGCAGGCCAGTCTCTTGAATAACAGCGCGTACATCGACAGCAACTGGCCTCAAGCACAGTGTGTTTTCTGACAACAAACTGTTGCGGGCTCGCAATACACGCAATACACACACGTTGTCGGAGCGGCGCATGGAGCGCGCACATCGGAGCAACTGAGGACAACTAGTTGCCGAAAAGTAGAACACGGGCAACTGACTGGAACTGGAGACCGACTGATCATCTCCAGTTGTAAGAGCGCGCACATCGACCGATTTCGGCAACTGATCATCTCCCACTATCTCCTCTCAGTTGCCAAAAGCCGCCTTGCAACTAGTTGTCCCCAGTTTCTCTGTCGATGTACGCTAGGCATTAGTGCCATTGATGTACTGTGGCACTAGCATGTCGTTAGTCACCAGATAGAGATGGATCTGCAAGAGAGACCAGAGAAAGAGCCCCCAAAGACAGTGCCTAGAGAGAGACTAGAGGGAAAGAGAGAGACCAGAGACAGTGCCCAGAGAGAGAAAGAGAGAGACCAGAGACAGTGCCCAGAGAGAGAAAGAGAGAGACCAGAGACAGTGCCGAGAGAGAGAAAGAGAGAGACCAGATTGTATTTCTGTCTTTTCTTCTATTGCAGACGTTGCCTCTGAACCAGTTCTACCCGTACATCCGCTGTGGACTCTGCTGTGGGTTCCTCATCGACGCCACGACCATCATCGAGTGTCTCCACACCTGTAAGCTCCATTAAAGCTCCATTAAAAATTGAATCATGTGTGTGTTTTAATTAGATCTGTGTGTGTGTGTGTGTGAGAAAAACATTGTGTTTGTTTTGTGTGTATCAGTTTGTAAGAGCTGCATCGTGAAGCACTTCTTCTACAGTAACAGATGTCCCACCTGCACCATCGTGGTTCATCAGACTCAGCCTCACTACAACATCCGGTACGTTACACACAGGAGAGAGAGAGACCAGTGAGAGAGAGACCAGTGAGACAGACAGACAGACCAGTGAGAGAGAGACCAGTGAGAGAGAGAGAGACCAGTGAGAGAGAGAGAGACCAGTGAGAGAGAGAGACCAGCGAGAGAGAGAGACCAGTGAGAGAGACAGACCAGTGAGACAGACAGACCAGTGAGAGAGAGAGAGACCAGAGAGAGGGAGAGACCTGAGAGAGACCAGCGAGAGAGAGAGACCAGTGAGACAGACAGACCAGTGAGAGACCAGTGAGAGAGAGAGAGAGACTAGTGAGAGAGAGAGAGACTAGTGAGAGAGAGAGAGACCAGTGAGAGAGAGAGAGAGAGAGAGAGACCAGCCAGTGAGAGAGAGACCTGCCAGTGTGAGAGAGAGAGACCAGTGAGTGAGAGAGAGCGACTAGTGAGTGAGTGAGAGAGACCAGTGAGTGAGAGAGAGCGACTAGTGAGTGAGTGAGAGAGACCAGTGAGTGAGAGAGAGAGAGAGACCAGAGAGAGAGAGAGAGACCAGAGGGAGAGACCAAAGAGGAACCAGTGACACAGATTTCAGTGCAGGGTTCCACTGTGTTTTGAAATTGACGTACCTCAGCTTTTTAATGAGGACTGATGTCATTTATGAAAACAAAACAAAAACAATGGTATATCTTTGCCACAGTCTACACTTTGTTATAAGCACAGCTGTAGTTCCGCACATGGCCTGACGATGGCGCTCTGTGTCTCCTCAGGCCGGACAGGCAGCTGCAGGACATGGTTTACAAAATGGTCCCGTTCCTAGAGGAGAGTGAGTAAAGTCCCTGTGTTTCTCTGTTTCTGCGCTCTGTCGTTCACTGAAACATGTTTTTTTTCCAGTGGAGAGAGATCTGATGGTTCAGTTTTACAAAGAGAGAGGACTGGACGTTCCAAAGCCAGGTAATTTACACTCACTCTGGCAACCGCAATCAAGGAAATGTACTCTCTGCTCTTTCTCTCTTTCTCTCTCTCTGGTCTCTTTCTCTCTGGCCTGTCTCTCTCTCTGGTATCTGTTTCTGGTCCCTCTCTCTGGTCCCTCTCTTGGGTCTCTCTCTCTCTTTAGTCGCTGTATCTGGTCTCTCTCTGGTGTCTTTCGCTCTGGTCTGTCTCTCTCTCTTTTGTCTCTCTCTGGTCTCTCTCTTGGGTCTCTCTCTTTAGTCTCTGTATCTGGTCTCTTTCTCTCTGGTCTGTCTCTCTTTTGTCTCTCTCTGGTCTCTCTCTCTTGGGTCTCTTTTGCTCAAGTCTCTCTCTCTCTTTAGTCTCTCTCTCTCTGGACTCTCTCTTGTTCAAATCTGCTCAACAACAGACGCTAATTGGTTGTGGCCATCCTTACACAGGGGCCATAGACACAGACACGCAGCCACACTTGGTCCAGTCCGCCCTGGGGCAGCTGTGGCCTGTTGTAACTCTTCTTCTTGTTTTCAGTTCCCGCACTCTTGTCTCCTCTTGGTCCAGTGAAGAAGAAAAAAGAGGCTCCTCCCCCTCGGGCCATCTTCACCATGCCTCCAGAGCTCGATGTATCGCTGCTGCTCGAATTTGTGGGGTCAGAAGTTTATATGTGTCTCAGTATACATGCAGACCTGTCTCAGTATACATACAGACATCTGTCTCAGTATACATACAGACCTGTCTCAGTATACATACAGACCTTTGTCTCAGTATACATACAGACATCTGTCTCAGTATACATACAGACCTCTGTCTCAGTATACATGCAGACCTGTCTCAGTATACATACAGACCTGTCTCAGTATACATACAGACCTCTGTCTCAGTATACATGCAGACCTGTCTCAGTATACATGCAGACCTGTCTCAGTATACATACAGACATCTGTCTCAGTATACATACAGACCTTTGTCTCAGTATACATACAGACCTGTTCAGTATACATACAGACCTCTGTCTCAGTATACATACAGACCTGTCTCAGTATACATACAGACATCTGTCTCAGTATACATACAGACCTTTGTCTCAGTATACATACAGACCTCTGTCTCAGTATACATACAGACCTCTGTCTCAGTATACATACAGACATCTGTCTCAGTATACATACAGATATCTGTCTCAGTATACATACAGACATCTGTCTCAGTATACATACAGACATCTGTCTCAGTATACATACAGATATCTGTCTCAGTATACATACAGACATCTGTCTCAGTATACATACAGACATCTGTCTCAGTATACATACAGACATCTGTCTCAGTATACATACAGACATCTGTCTCAGTATACATACAGACATCTGTCTCAGTATACATACAGATATCTGTCTCAGTATACATACAGACATCTGTCTCAGTATACATACAGACATCTGTCTCAGTATACATACAGACATCTGTCTCAGTATACATACAGACCTGTCTCAGTATACATACAGACATCTGTCTCAGTATACATACAGACCTCTGTCTCAGTATACATACAGACCTCTGTCTCAGTATACATACAGACCTTTGTCTCAGTATACATACAGACCTCTGTCTCAGTATACATACAGACCTGTTCAGTATACATACAGACATCTGTCTCAGTATACATACAGACCTTTGTCTCAGTATACATACAGACCTCTGTCTCAGTATACATACAGACATCTGTCTCAGTATACATACAGACATCTGTCTCAGTATACATACAGACCTTTGTCTCAGTATACATACAGACATCTGTCTCAGTATACATACAGACCTTTGTCTTAGTATACATACAGACATCTGTCTCAGTATACATACAGACCTTTGTCTCAGTATACATACAGACATCTGTCTCAGTATACATACAGACCTTTCTCTCAGTATACATACAGACCTCTGTCTCAGTATACATACAGACCTTTGTCTCAGTATACATACAGACATCTGTCTCAGTATACATACAGACCTTTGTCTCAGTATACATACAGACCTCTGTCTCAGTATACATGCAGACCTGTCTCAGTATACATACAGACATCTGTCTCAGTATACATACAGACATCTGTCTCAGTATACATACAGACATCTGTCTCAGTATACATACAGACATCTGTCTCAGTATACATACAGACATCTGTCTCAGTATACATACAGACATCTGTCTCAGTATACATACAGACATCTGTCTCAGTATACATACAGACCTCTGTCTCAGTATACATACAGACCTTTGTCTCAGTATACATACAGACCTCTGTCTCAGTATACATACAGACATCTGTCTCAGTATACATACAGACATCTGTCTCAGTATACATACAGACATCTGTCTCAGTATACATACAGACCTCTGTCTCAGTATACACATCTGTCTCAGTATACATACAGACCTGTCTCAGTATACACATCTGTCTCAGTATACATACAGACCTGTCTCAGTATACACATCTGTCTCAGTATACATACAGACCTCTGTCTCAGTATACACACAGACCTCTGTCTCAGTATACATACAGACCTGTCTCGGTATACATACAGACCTCTGTCTGTGTGTGTGTGTGTGTGTGTGTGTGTGTGTTTTGTTACGTTGACCTCTAGATGGAGCCATTGCAAGTATGTAATCTCTAATTTGTATTGCAGAGCTGAAGAGGGAGTGCAGAACTATAAGGTATGTATTAGTATATATTAGTAGTGTGGATGTAGTATGAAATCTGGACAGTATGTTACTCGGACGACAGATAAAAGCTCCCATTCAGTGCATACTGTCTTTAAACGCTGTAGCCAGGCGCCGCACAGTGGACACTCCTGGTACTGCACACTGCAATCTACAAACAACTTTTTCCCCTCGAGCTCAGAGATAACAAAAACAGCTAATCCGACAGCTTTCACAAGGAGTTCAGTGGACTCTGCTCGCTCTAGTCTGTGGGTCCAATTCAAGTTTATTTGTATAACCCTGAATCACAACAGCAGTCATCTTGGAGGACTTAACAATGTTGTTGATTCATCAACAACGGATCAGAGAATCAAACGGTTAAAAAACAGGGAATGCAATAACAAAAAACACAAAGGTTCATAGGAAGCAGGAGAAATGTTGGTAAATATCCTGAATCATCACTGTCCTTAGCCCCTGAGGCTGCAGAACCAGGACTGAGGCTGCAGAACCAGGACTGAGGCTGTAGATCCAGGACAGCGACCCGTGGTGTAGTTTGAAGTAAAGTTGTGTGTTTTCAGCCTCTGGAGCGTCGTTTCGTCCGAGTTTCCGGAGAAGCAACGATTCGACACGTGGAGCTTTTCATCCGGAAGAAGATGGAGCTGAGCGCGGGTTGCCAGGTCTGAGTTAGACTTTGTGAGACTACAATGTTCTGAACAATGCAATAACATGTAGTTTAGCCTCTAACCTGGAGTGCAGCAGTATCAGACCAGAATCACAGATACAATTATCTGCACTTTTGTGAGTACAAAGCTGCTATTGCTAGTGTACACATTATCGCCATTATATTATTAGAAGCCTTGGTCCCTGTCCTGGCCTTGGTCCTTCTCCTGGCCCTGGTCTTGGCCCTGGTCCTTCTCCTGGTCCTAGTCTTGGCCCTTGTCCTTGTACTGAAATGCTGTTACAGTGGTTTTCTCTTTCACACACTCACATTAGTTCCTCACCTTGACCATGTTTATGTGAATGGAGCGTCTGAGCAGAGCACTGTTATCTCCTGCAGACCTGGGATCAGATGGTTCCGCTCCTGTCGTCTGAGGCTAACCCCAGCAGGCCTCCTCTAAAGCAGATTAATGTCTCTGTGTCTGCTGAGTTTGAATCGCTGCCATCTCACTTTTAGAAACACGTGGACGAGGATTTAAAACTCAAAGACAGAAGTGACGCCGATTCTGCGCTTAAATTATGAGGCTAACCCGGGATCCTACATTCTCTATTCGACTCAAGCTAACACCATGAGTTTAATAATTCAATTGCAATTATTTGTGTATTGCCTTAAATCACAACAGTCGTCATTTCTGAGGACTTTACACAGTTGTGGATTTGCCAACAACAGATCAGAGAATCAATATAATCAAACCGTTAAGATTTAAGATTCTCTCATTTATTATCATTACGTAGACTATCACTTTGAACGTCAGCATAGAAAACAATGTGAAAGAGAAAGTAAGACCATACTTTGGACACAGCACTATTTAGCAGCAGACGTGACAGGTTCTGATTCCTACATAGAGCACTATTTAGCAGCAGAAGTCGTGATTCCTACATAGAGCACTATTTAGCAGCAGACGTGACAGGTCCTGATTCCTACATAGAGCACTATTTAGCAACAGAAGGGACAGGACCTAATCCTATACTGAGGATACATGCTAGATTTAGCAACAGCCACACAGGTCTGTATTACCAATGAAAGCATCTGATTGGTCAATCCTTTAATGGCTCATACCTGGAGTTTACTTTTGCATGTAAGTCAATCAGAGCCAGAGAGAGATGGCGCTAAAGCTAGCAGGTTAGCATTGTCCATTTGTATACAGTTTATGGGGTTAGCTTTAGCTGTGACAAAGGTTTAGTTGCGTGTTGTGTGTGTTCTCTCCTCTCTCCACTCAAACTGAAGTCTCTGCTCTGTTCCAGGTGGACGTGGTCTGTGGGCATCACCTTCTGGATCATTATCAGTCTCTGAATGAGATCCAGAGGTCGATGGGAGAAGACGCTCTGCAGGTACGAGGTTCACATGAGTTTTACCGGAACCAAAACTACAGACTTTTCTTCTGTTTCAGGACGGTCTGCTGGTGCTGCACTTCGGTCTCGTTCTCCCCACGGACTGATCCAACAGAACCTTTTATATTATTTATTCATCTCTGGTTTCATAGAAGGCATTAGAGATTTGACTGAAAGGGTCCAACATTGTATAGTCTCTGCTGCATTTCTATCTCCAATGAAACGCAACGAGGCTTCAATGTTTACTTCTGAACGCTAATACTTCCATAGCAGTCGATTTATCCAATCCAATCCTGTCCACTTTATTTTTTTATAGCACATTTCATAAACTGTTTTCAAAGTGCTGCACAATAAAAGACTAATTAAAACAAACCCATAGTAAAAAAGTTAAGTCAATAACAATCAAAATAGGATAAAATCTTTAATCTATACATACACGTATATATATATATTTATATGTGCACGTAAACGTTGGAGTAAAACAAAATATAATACAAAAAGGACCACACAACTCTGGCAGTGTTAATGGCCAGAGCATAAAAATGGGTGTTCAGACGAGACTTCAGACACTCCACAGAAGGAGCAGTCTGAGCAGGAGGGGGCAGGCTCCGTAGCTTTGGTCCAGCCACAGAAAAGGCCCAGTCCCCCGGGTTTTAGGTCTCGTCCTCGGCACCATGAGCTGGAGCTGGCCCTTGGACCTCAGTGCAGGGGTCAAAAGGACTTCTTTAAATGTAAATACTGCTCAGGGACATTCTTGGTCATAACTTTCTGTTTCTGTATGTATTCAGTTTTTGTCATTATTTTTATGAAATTATCGTTTTTTGTAAATGTGACAAGTTCTACCTTAAATTCCCACAGCCGCCATTTTGACGGTCGGCACTAGATCATATACGGAATCGGGACAAAACCGGAAGTAACAATCCTTTTTTCAAATTAGTTTTAGACTAATAAGTCCTTAAGTGGAGACTGGTTAAGTTTTAGGCGTCTGAGTAAGATGGTTAAGTTTAGGGTTAAGGGCGGGTTGGGGTTATTTTATGGGAATGGCTGGTTAAGTTTAGGCATGAATAGGTGGTTTGTTATATTTACTTCCGCTTCCGTCCCGATTCCGTATATGATCTAGTGCTGACCCCATTTTGACTGCTCCATTCAAAAATTCAATTCCTGGCAACCTGCTCGTTACTATAGCAACACCCTGTTTACCAGCTAGCCGTTAGCATGTAATAGCCTCTTTTCTTTCAACTGTTTCAGCTGTATTTCAGTTGTAATCATCAGTTTTAGCTCTTTTTAACGTGAGCATAAAGATAAAAACCAAGTAAATGTTTTTTTATGGAAAGCTCGGGTCATTGATTTGAATGGAAGCAGTCAAAGTAATAAGAAGCCAAAGTTTAGAATATATTTTTACTTCTGAGACTCAGCTGTGATTCACTTCTTCTGCTTTTCCACATTTCTCGTTTAGTTTCAGGGATTAGAGCCAAAGAGCTGCTTCTGTTTGTGTGAAAAACTGCATTTTTCTGTTTTTGTACAAATTTGACTGATATTTATTTAAAACCTGTGAAATCTAAAGAGAACTGTCTTCAAGGCAATAAGTGGAATAATTAAAAATGTGCGCAATATGTTTTAAACTCATTTAGACCCAGATGAAGCTTGAGAATTTAATTAGAGAGCAGAGAGAGACTAGAGCGATACTAGAGATGAGACTAAGAGATAGGGACCAGAGGGAAAATAGGGAGCGAGGGACCAGAGAGAGATTGGGAAGTACGGTGGCTGAGTGAATAGCTCTCTCGCTTCTCTGCAAGAAGGTCCTGGGTTCGAATCCCGGTCGGACAGGGCCTTTCTGAGTGGAGTTTGCATGTTCTCCCCGTGTCTGCGTAGGTTTCCTCTGGGTACTTCGCTTTCCCCTACCACTAAAAACATGTACACTAGATAAAATCCTTCAGCTCTGGTCCTGACCAAGCCGAGCATCATCATCTGGAGATGGGTTCCCGGACACTGTTACTACGGCGACCACTGGTCCTGATAGACGCCCTAGTTGCAACAGGATGGGTCAACTGAATCTGGCATGTGCCTCCTGTACTGGCCCCGCTCCCATCTCTGTGTGGAGTGAGAGACAAATGCCCAAAAAATAACAATTGTAAACTGCTTTGTGACTCTGGTCTGTGAAAGGCGGTTTATAAATAAAGATTACTTACTTAATTAGATGCTAGAGACGAGAATCTAGGAAAGAGAGACCAGTGATAGAAGCAGCTGTTGTAGATCTAGGAACTAGTGACATGGATTTTATTACACTATCACACAGCGTTGTTTGTAGCCTTGAAGTTAGGGACCCCAGCTTTAAACAGGAACATGAGCAGTTACTGGGAGTATTTACTGTGCTCTCCACAAACACATGTTTCCAGTCCTTTCTTGTCCCAGAGAAACCAAAGCACGGATCAATCGGTCTCTGAAATCTTCTCACTAATGAAAGATTAACTGTTTCACCCTGACTGAGATGGACACCACAGATCCCAGGTCAGATCTGTGGAAAGGAGAGCGCACAGACACAACTACTCTCTCGCTAGTATCTCTATAGTCTTTTTCTCTGGTCTCTCTAGTTTCTCTAGTCTCTCTGGTCTCTCTAGTCTCTCTTTCTGGTCTCTCTCTAGTCTGTCTCTTTCTCTCTAGTCTCTCACTCTGGTCTCTCTCACTGGTCTCTCTAGTCTCTCACTCTGGTCTCTCTCACTGGTCTCTCTCTAGTCTCTCACTCTGATCTCTCTCACTGGTCTCTCTATAGTCTCTCTGGTCTCTCTCACTTGTCTCTCTATAGTCTCTACTGTATCTCTCTCTAGTCTCTCACTCTGGTCTCTCTATAGTCTCTGCTCTCTCTCTAGTCTCTCACTCTGGTCTCTCTCTAGTCTCTCTATAGTCTCTCTGGTCTCTCTCTAGTCTCTCTCTAGTCTCTCACTCTGGTCTCTCTTACCGGTCTCTCTATAGTCTCTCTTCTCTCTCTCGTCTCTCAGAACAACACCAACACTCATTTAACAACAGTTTAGAAAAATTGTACAACCAAAAACATAAGTATTTTTTTATTGGATATTTTTTCTGAAGGAGCACAACAGCCAAAATAACAAACATCAGTGAAGTGAAAACATGAATGTGTCAGAATGTTTCAGTTAAAGTCCAGACCTAAATAGACCTAATAGAGCTCTACACGTGCAAAGGAAAGAGAGTCACACAGACTGTATGTAGATGGACAAGGCTATACCCTGGGATCCTGTTACATATCAACAGATGGAGAGGAAACACAGGGAGATAGATGTTTAAAGCTGGGGTACGTAACTTTCAAACCCAATCCATGTAACTCGTCCCTCGCTCTCAAAACTGTCACAAGTTTTCACATTTGTGTGTTTCTGGCCTCTGTCACAGTTTTAGAACAGCTTTCTCAGGCAGAGACCAGAGCGAGAGGGACCGGACAGAGACCAGACAGAGACCAGACAGAGACCAGAGAAAGTGACAAGAGAGAGATTGGAGAGAGACCAGAGAGAGACCAGAGATAGATTGATCAGAGGGAGAGACAAGAGAGATAGGATAGAAACCAGAAATGGAGACCAGAGAGAGAGACTCGAGAGAGACCAGAGAGAGACCAGAGAGACTATTTCCACATACATGTATTTCTGGCCTCTGTCACATCTCTAGATCAGCTTTTTCCGACAGAAAAGTGACAAAAGAGAGGACCACCCTCACTCTCAGCCCAAAGAGTCAAATAGTGACTCACAGGGATTACTCATGTGACGTAAAAGTAAAAGAACCTCAGCTTTAACAGTCTCCCTGTGCTCTCTGCTCTCCGCTCTCACAGACTGAGCTGGGCAAAGATCTCCTCTTCCTTCTCCTCCTCGAAGGCCTCTTTCGCACTGCGGCCTTGGTCCCGTCTGGGGTCTGGGTCCCGTCTGGGGTCTGGGTCCCGTCTGGGGTCTGGGTCTCGTCTGGGGTCTGGACCCTGAGACTCAGGGCCTGGGGGTCTGGACTGAGGCAGGGACAGGGGGACCCCAAAGGAGAGGCCACAGTTAAAGTGTGTCTCCTCTCCTTCCAGCAGCTTCCTTAAAGACACAAGCGCATGGTCACGGCCTGGGTACACACATACACACACACACACACACACCCACGCACAGACCCACAAACACAAACACACACAGACACACACAGACCCACACACACACACAAAGACAGACAGATAGTCAGACAGACACACACTCACACACACACACGCACACACACACAGATACACACATACACGACACACAAAGACGCATCCACATACAGACACACACACGACACACACACAAACACACCCAAACAGACACACAAAAACACATAGACACACCCACACACACATAAACACTGACACATCCACACACACACACACACACAGACCCACACAGACACACACGCACACACAGACCCCCACACACGTACACACACACACACACACAGACACACACGCACACACAGACCCCCACACACAAACACACACACGCAAACACACACAGACACACACAGACCCACACACTGACCTGTAAGCGGCGATCTCGATGTCCAGAGCCATCTTGACGTTGAGCAGGTCCTGGTGCTCTCTCAGGTGTTCGGCCATTTTCCCTTTGAGGTTCCGGATCTCTGTGTCCAAATGAGAGATGGTCTCCTGGAACACACACAAGAGGACCGGCATGACACTAGGAGGAAGACAGGACCGGCATGACACTAGGAGAAAGACAGGACCGGCATGACACTAGGAGAAAGACAGGACCGGCATGACACTAGGAGGAAGACAGGACCGGCATGACACTAGGAGAAAGACAGGACCGGCATGACACCAGGAGGAAGACAGGAGAGGACCGGCATGACACCAGGAGGAAGACAGGACCGGCATGACACTAGGAGAAAGACAGGACCGGCATGACACCAGGAGGAAGACAGGACAGGACCGGCATGACACTAGGAGGAAGACAGGACCGGCATGACACTAGGAGAAAGACAGGACCGGCATGACACCAGGAGAAAGACAGGACCGGCATGACACTAGGAGAAAGACAGGACCGGCATGACACCAGGAGGAAGACAGGAGAGGACCGGCATGACACCAGGAGGAAGACGGGAGAGGACCAGCATAACACTAGGAGAGAGACATTCCTTCACTTCACCTTACCTCCCTCCCCTCCCTCACCCCTCCCTCACCCCTCCCTCCCCTCTCCCCCTCCCCTCCCTCACCCCTCCCTCCCCTCTCCCCCTCCCCCCCTCCCTCCCCTTGCAGACGTTGCGTGTCTGAGTAATTCCTCGGGCTGATTGGTTTAATGCAGCTCTGGGTTTAGTCTGATCTGTTACTCCTCAGTCTGTGAAGGTTCAGACGACGCTGCAGCGACGCACTCTCACGCTCTCTACGTTTCAGACGCACGAGTTCAATCTGAAGCACTGCAGAGAGGGCTTTGATGCTAACGAGTTTAAGCTAGCAACTTTTGTATAAAGTTCTCCCCCACAAGTGCAGTTGCAGCGTTTCTTGTCTTTCTCCTAGTGTTATGCTGGTCCTCTCCTGTCTTTCTCCTAGTGTTATGCCGGGCCTCTCCTGTCTTCCTCCCAGTGTCATCCCGGTCCATCTCCAAGTGTCATGCCGGTCCTCTCCCAGTGTCATGCCGGTCCTCTCCCAGTGTCATGCCGGTCCTCTCCTAGTGTCATGCCGGTCCTCTCCCAGTGTCATGCCGGTCCATCTCCAAGTGTCATGCCGGTCCTCTCCTAGTGTCATGCCGGTCCTCTTCTAGTGTCATGCCGGTCCTCTCCCAGTGTCATGCCGGTCCTCTCCTAGTGTCATGCCGGTCCTCTCCTAGTGTCATGCCGGTCCTCTCCTAGTGTCATTCCGGTCCTCTCCTAGTGTCATGCCGGTCCTCTCCTAGTGTCATTCCGGTCCTCTCCTAGTGTCATGCCGGTCCATCTCCAAGTGTCATGCCGGTCCTCTCCTAGTGTCATTCCGGTCTTCTCCTAGTGTCATGCCGGTCCTCTCCTAGTGTCATGCCGGTCCTCTCCTAGTGTCATGCCGGTCCTCTCCCAGTGTCATGCCGGTCCTCTCCCAGTGTCATGCCGGTCCTCTCCTAGTGTCATGCCGGTCCTCTCCTAGTGTCATGCCGGTCCTCTCCTAGTGTCATGCCGGTCCTCTCCTAGTGTCATTCCGGTCCTCTCCTAGTGTCATGCCGGTCCTCTCCCAGTGTCATGCCGGTCCATCTCCAAGTGTCATGCCGGTCCTCTCCTAGTGTCATTCCGGTCTTCTCCTAGTGTCATGCCGGTCCTCTCCTAGTGTCATGCCGGTCCTCTCCCAGTGTCATGCCGGTCCTCTCCCAGTGTCATGCCGGTCCATCTCCAAGTGTCATGCCGGTCCTCTCCTAGTGTCATTCCGGTCTTCTCCTAGTGTCATGCCGGTCCTCTCCTAGTGTCATGCCGGTCCTCTCCTAGTGTCATGCCGGTCCTCTCCCAGTGTCATGCCGGTCCTCTCCCAGTGTCATGCCGGTCCTCTCCTAGTGTCATGCCGGTCCTCTCCTAGTGTCATGCCGGTCCTCTCCTAGTGTCATGCCGGTCCTCTCCTAGTGTCATTCCGGTCCTCTCCTAGTGTCATGCCGGTCCTCTCCCAGTGTCATGCCGGTCCATCTCCAAGTGTCATGCCGGTCCTCTCCTAGTGTCATTCCGGTCTTCTCCTAGTGTCATGCCGGTCCTCTCCTAGTGTCATGCCGGTCCTCTCCCAGTGTCATGCCGGTCCTCTCCCAGTGTCATGCCGGTCCATCTCCAAGTGTCATGCCGGTCCTCTCCCAGTGTCATGCCGGTCCTCTCCTAGTGTCATGCCGGTCCTCTCCTAGTGTCATGCCGGTCCTCTCCTAGTGTCATGCCGGTCCTCTCCTAGTGTCATGCCGGTCCTCTCCTAGTGTCATGCCGGTCCTCTCCTAGTGTCATGCCAGTCCTCTTCTAGTGTCATGCCGGTCCTCTCCTAGTGTCATGCCGGTCCTCTCCCAGTGTCATGCCGGTCCATCTCCAAGTGTCATGCCGGTCCTCTCCTAGTGTCATGCCGGTCCTCTCCTAGTGTCATGCCAGTCCTCTCCTAGTGTCATGCCGGTCCTCTCCTAGTGTCATGCCGGTCCTCTCCTAGTGTCATGCCAGTCCTCTTCTAGTGTCATGCCGGTCCTCTCCTAGTGTCATGCCGGTCCTCTCCTAGTGTCATGCCGGTCCTCTCCCAGTGTCATGCCGGTCCATCTCCAAGTGTCATGCCGGTCCTCTCCTAGTGTCATGCCGGTCCTCTTCTAGTGTCATGCCGGTCCTCTCCTAGTGTCATGCCGGTCCTCTTCTAGTGTCATGCCGGTCCTCTCCTAGTGTCATGCCGGTCCTCTCCTAGTGTCATGCCGGTCCTCTCCTAGTGTCATTCCGGTCCTCTCCTAGTGTCATGCCGGTCCTCTCCCAGTGTCATGCCGGTCCATCTCCAAGTGTCATGCCGGTCCTCTCCCAGTGTCATGCCGGTCCTCTCCTAGTGTCATTCCGGTCCTCTCCTAGTGTCATGCCGGTCCTCTCCCAGTGTCATGCCGGTCCATCTCCAAGTGTCATGCCAGTCCTCTCCTAGTGTCATTCCGGTCCTCTCCTAGTGTCATGCCGGTCCTCTCCTAGTGTCATGCCGGTCCTCTCCTAGTGTCATGCCGGTCCTCTCCCAGTGTCATGCCGGTCCTCTCCTAGTGTCATGCCGGTCCTCTCCTAGTGTCATGCCGGTCCTCTCCTAGTGTCATTCCGGTCCTCTCCTAGTGTCATGCCGGTCCTCTCCTAGTGTCATGCCGGTCCTCTTCTAGTGTCATGCCGGTCCTCTCCTAGTGTCATGCCAGTCCTCTTCTAGTGTCATGCCGGTCCTCTCCTAGTGTCATGCCGGTCCTCTCCTAGTGTCATGCCGGTCCTCTCCCAGTGTCATGCCGGTCCTCTCCCACTGTCATGCCAGTCCTCTCCTAGTGTCATGCCGGTCCTCTCCTAGTGTCATACCGGTCCTCTCCTAGTGTCATGCCGGTCCTCTCCTAGTGTCATGCCGGTCCTCTCCTAGTGTCATGCCGGTCCTCTCCCAGTGTCATGCCGGTCCATCTCCAAGTGTCATGCCGGTCCTCTCCTAGTGTCATGCCGGTCCTCTTCTAGTGTCATGCCGGTCCTCTCCTAGTGTCATGCCGGTCCTCTTCTAGTGTCATGCCGGTCCTCTCCTAGTGTCATGCCGGTCCTCTCCTAGTGTCATGCCGGTCCTCTCCTAGTGTCATGCCGGTCCTCTCCTGTCTTATACCCGTAGATAGACAGTAGACGTTGGTGTCTGACCTGCATGGCTGACACCTCTGCAGCGTGAGCCTCTTCCATCTCGGTGACCTGTCTCTCCAGACTCTCGTTGGTCGCCCTCAGACTCTCGGTCTCGATGGTCTTGTTCTGCAGCTGCCTCCTGAACTCGCCCAGCTCCTCTCGACTCGCCCTCGCCACCTCGCTGCTGCGGGACGCCTGCTCCGAGAGGCTGCTGAACCTGGACTTGTACCAGTCCTCGGCCGACTGTAGGTTCCTCGCCGCCACCGACTCGTACTGGCTCCGGATCTCCTTCAGAGCCGAGGTCAGGTCTGGTTTGGGCGGATCCACCTCCACAGACGCCTGCACAAAAGACAGGAGATGATACAAGTCCATTCAATTCAATTTATTTTTGTTTATCCCTAAATAACAGTATTTATCTCGGAGGTCAACATAGATCAGAGAATCAAACAGTTCAAATACAAGAAATGCAATGATCACAAAAACAGATCGGTTTATCCGTTACGGGCAGAGACAAATGTCCATAAATGTCCTGGATCCTCACCACTGCCCTTAGACCTTCCTGTATCAGCAAGGAAAAACCATAGACTGTTAACGGACAGAGTCACGCCTATCTTCGCCGTTCTAACTAATGGGCCAAAAATTGTGCTCTACTGGAGCTATCCAAAATGGCAGCAAGTGGTCCCGCCCACAAGAAAATTGTGAATAATCCACCCCCCTCAGCATTGACACACATGTGGAACGGAGCTTTGGGCCAAGAGCCAACTTTTGGACCATCATGTAAAGACGTTTTCGAGAGGTCTTCCAACGCTATATGTTAGCATTGGCTAATTATTCTTCCGGGTCCACCCCCATCGGCCCGGGGTGGTATTGCAGCATGTCACCGCACGTCATTTTGGCCACTTTTGAGCCGGGACCCGCCCTCACTGGGAAAAACTCAGTGGGAAAAAAACCTCGGGAGGCGCACATTGAGGGAGGGATCCCCTTCCACGGACGGACAGACTGTAGATCCAGGACTGAGACTTTAGATCCAGGACTGAGACTGTGGATCCAGGACTGAGGCTCTGGCTGAGTCCTGGATCATCAAAGTATGACTTTGGTGAGTTTAGCAGCAGTATGTTAGCATCTGTACATGTAAGCAGCAGTATGTTAGCATCATGGATCTATTATAATAACTAGATAGGGTATTACTAGCTTGTAGCTGAATAACTCATGTGCTCGGGGGATTCTCGCGGTACTGCAGACTGAACCAGACTAAATTCACGTGGGCTACCCAGAAATTTTCCCTATAGAACTCAATGCATATTAAAACAGCTCAACCTCAGCTGACAGAGAACCTACAGCTTTCATAAAGGTCGGATTTTGTGGGGATTTTAGTGTCCCTTGTCATCCTGAACTTTTTTTCTTCTTAAATCCTTCGGTTTTGTTTAAATCCACACTTTAGTGCCACAAACTCTGCTCGTCTGGCTCTGGCTCTAACTCCCGCTCTGATGAACTGCTCTGATTGGTCAGAGCGCGGCCGAGCCCCTCTGTGCACGTCAGTAGCGGCGCCAGGTTTGAAATTTTGGGTAGGCCTGCAGATTAGTAAGTAGGCCAAATTCGCACGCAAACTACAAGGGGTAGCTGGAATTGGGGTTTCAAAGAATATGGTTCAAACGCACGCATGCGCACACACACGCACCCAAGCACACACATACACACAAGCTCATTTATGAAACTTGCGTAGAAAAATGTGTACATTTGGGGTGTATATTCCATTTACGCAAAATCCAACGTCGGATTTATGAACGTGTGAGATCAGCCCAGATCTGAGCGTACGCAGCTGCGGGTGTTGATAAATCGGCTGAATACGAACGTATTTATGAAAGTCACGCCTAGAATTATGCAGCAATGTTCGCGACAGGTCAGCACGGAAGTCCAAAAAGACTGTTGGAAGCCTCAAAAGGCACGTTTGTTTGTTATGTTTATGTAAAAATAAATATACGCTATATATTCAGCTGCGTTTTGCACAAATTTGCAAAAATAGTTTTGATACATTAGAAAAATCTCTCTTGAATTGTAGAAGTGAAGAAATATAGATTGATTGAATGAATGAATGAATGAATTCATATTTATTATGCAGCGGTGGCTCTGAATGAAGCGTCTGCAGCGTCTTGGACGCAGCCTGGCTCGGGGTAGAAGTGCGCATTGAAGCGCTGTACACTTCAGAGAGCGTTTGCGGTCCAGATTTCACAAAGAAACTCTGAAGCCAAAACTTCTGCACATTTGAGGAGTTATGTGGCGCGATATCTCACGGCACTCGCTGCGCACTCTGGACAGGGCAGTGAGACATTTGGAGTGAGCAATACCATCGATGCGTTATTGGGGTGTGTGTCTGTGTGAGGCTTACACAAATCTAATGAAATAACACATTGCTTTACCAGATGTGAATGAGGAATACAAATAGCCGTGTGTAATTACGCAGCGCAGAGCCTGCCACAGCAATAGCTGGGTCACACATCCCTGTTGCGTAAAGTGTATTTATATAGAGCCTTTCACAGTTCAGGATCACAAACCGCTTCACATTTAAAAACATACAGATCAAAATAATACACACACAAGTCAGATTTAATAGAGGGTCCTGATCATGAGCTGTGATTTATTCAAAGTTTGCGTGTTTCCATTAGACTTTTTCCGATACGCAAATTCAACTTTTGAAACATGATGCTCAATGAAAACACAGCTTATAATTTTGCCAGAGGGAAAATGGGTATTGTTGTCCAAATCCTGAATTTCATGCGTGTTGTGCCGAAGGTTGAGATCAGCGTATACGTTTACTCCACCTCCAGACCTGCCGTATATTTTTTGCGTATTGTACGTTCACGTCCAGATAGATAAATGCGGAAAAGTGATTCCACCCTGATTTGTCCGTACGCAAGTTTCATACATGAGGCCCTGTGTGTCTCACACACACACACACACACACACACACACACACACACAGGCCTGGGGTTTACCTCATCAGTGCGAGGTGAACCTGGCCTGACTGCGCTCTCCTCCTCTGGGACCTACGGGCCCGGGCCTCTGGCTCCTCTACCTCACGAAGTTCACGCTGAACTTTCTTAAAACTAAAATGACTAAAAAGGCTGCTCTGTTGTGAATGTTTTGAGAGCGTTGTCAATCTTTAAGACGAGGAATAGCTGCTTGTTCTCGGGAACGAGCTTCGCGCTGTGTGATATGATCATGCAGATTATTGGACAAAATTATTCAGCCAATAAACAGGACTATATTTGAAGCAACGTGAACGCTCAGGGGGTTACATTTTCTTAAAACATTAGAACGCAACATTTAGGCAATAATGTGTGTATAAAAATAACAATATTTAAATTATGACTTTTAATAAAAAGGCTAATGACTTGAGAGGCGAAGAACAAATTTGAGTAGGCCAAGAAAAAAACTGGTAGGCACCGGCCTACCCGGGCCTATCCCTGGCGCCGCGGCTGGTGCACGTGCGTGAGACCCGGTGTGAGACCCACACACGTGTGTTTGGCGCAACGCATTATGGGAGATCATCCACTGCACAGAACTGGGAGGACCAGACGATGCCCAAATACAGGCGAGTTTCCCATAGATCTTTGCGAGTTCCAGGAGACTTGCGCTAATCTGTCAGCCCCTATGCCGTCACTTGGTTAGCATCTGTACATTAGCAGCAGTATGTTAGCATCTGTACATGTTAGCAGCAGTATGTTAGCATCTGTACATGTTAGCAGCAGTATGTTAGCATCTGTACATGTTAGCAGCAGTATGTTAGCATCTGTACATGTTAGCAGCAGTATGTTAGCATCTGTACATGTTAGCAGCAGTATGTTAGCATCTGTACATGTTAGCAGCAGTATGTTAGCATCTGTACATGTTAGCAGCAGTATGTTTGCATCTGTACATGTTAGCAGCAGTATGTTTGCATCTGTACATGTTAGCAGCAGTATGTTAGCATCTGTACATGTTAGCAGCAGTATGTTTGCATCTGTACATGTTAGCAGCAGTATGTTAGCATCTGTACATGTTAGCAGCAGTATGTTTGCATCTGTACATGTTAGCAGCAGTATGTTAGCATCTGTACATGTTAGCACCAGTATGTTAGCAGCAGTATGTTAGCAGGACGCAGATACAGAACGTCTTCACACTCGGAATGAAGACTAGGTCACAAGGCGGGTTGGATGCCGACTAGTTTAGACACAGCAGCCCGTGTTGCTCTGTGTGTGGAAAGGGAACACAAAGGACAGGATTTGGTTCATTCCTGTGAGCATTGGTTGATCTGTTTTCTAATCTGCTGTTGGTGAATCAGCAGTTGTGTGTGTTTACCTGCTGAGCCTCCATGAAGCAGCGCAGCTCCTGGATCTCCTCCTGGTGAAGTCTCGTCATGAAGCGGATCTCGTCAGACAGAGACTCCACGCTTCGCTCCAGGTTCAGTCTGATCGCCGCCGCCTCGTCCACGTCCCTCGCCACAGACTTCAGGGAGAGCTCCGCCTGAACCCGGAGAGCCTGCTCCTGCTCCAGCCTCAGACACACACACTGAGGGCAGAGATACACATGTTACACACACACACACAGACTTCAGAGAGATCCCCGCTTGAGCCCTGAGAGCCTGCTCCAGCCTCAGACACGCACAATGTAGAGATACAGTACACACACACACACACACACACACACACGAGGGATACTACTTTGTGTTGCGGCCTTGGAGCCGGGTCATAACCTTCATAATTTTCTTGAAATAATACATTTTTAAAAAGGCTCTGAAATACATCTGAAATTTATTTATTTCAGTTTCTGAATATATCTTCATTAAATCCAGAATACATTATAATTATTTAAATGATTATTTCATATGTTTTCAATTACATCTATTTTCCTGTGACATGATCTTGTTGATATTTGACGTGATGCACATTGCAAGGGGGGGGGGGGGGATTTTACAGCAAAATCACTGCAGTAAATAAAAAACATGGCCTACAGAATCCTCACGCGAGTAAGATCGTATGAGCACTCCCCAGTCCATGTCATTTTATGTGGCCCTGTGCCTGCTAACCCGTAGTAGTCTGAGAGCATAAACACACTTTCACTGTCGTCCACTTCAGCTCGGCCAATACAGACGTGTCTTAACCCGTTCTGAAGTACTACGTTCTTCTTGCCTGAGATGTTTTCTATTCTTGGTTGGTCTAGAACCTCTGTTAATGGTGCTACTGTAACTGCTCAGATATTAGGACCTACAGAATAACAAGCACTTCAGGTCTGAGTGAAATATTTATCAATAGTTACTCCTTTTCCAGAGAGTAACTCTGTAGGTGGACAAATACATTATAACTTTATTTTAGAATTATTTCTTTTTATGCATGTTTTTCATTTTTGACACCTCACTTTTATATTTGTTTAAATCTTTATTTAAACAAAAATATTTTTCAGGGAACCTTTTGTACAGTTTTTTTTTCGTACCAACAGTCACTCAGTCCTCAAGTGTGTTTTTAAATTAGCTTGGGTCAATATTTTGGCTTCTACCCACCTCTGGGAATGTATTTTTTAAGTTTCTGACAAATTAGGTGACATATGAGGTCAAGTGTGTGTGTGTTAAAAGTGTGTTAAGGTAGTTCCGTGCACGACCAGAGGGGTGTATCAAACTTTTTGGGATGGGACATGCATGATTTTTGGTGTGGAGCTTGTTTTGGGCCTCTACAACACTGTAGTATGCATGGAAAAATGGGAACCTAAAAAAAGTCCTCGTATTTCCTCAAGTCCCCACACACACGCACTCAAACACACACACGGCCTTCAAAGAGATCTCCGCTTGAGCCCTGAGAACCTGCTCCTGATCCAGCCTCAGACACACACACTGCAGAGATACACACACATACACACACACACACACACACACACACACACACACACACACACACACACACACACACACACACAGACACACACATACACACACACACACACACACACACACACACACACACACACACACACACACACACACACACACACACACACACACACACACACACACACACACACACACACACACACACACACACACACACACACACACAGACACACACATACACACTGACCTTGAGCTCCTCCTCCTGGTTGCTGACCTCCACCAGCAGCCGGCTGTTGTCCTGGTTCAGGGTCAGGACCTGGTCTCTCAGGTCCTGGATCTGGTCCTTGTAGACCTGGTTGACCCTGGACTCGTTCTGCTTCTGCCTCAGAGAAACCAGCTCCGTCTGCAGACTGTGGTTCTGCTGCTCCAAGTGACGCACTTTATCAATGAACACGGCGAAGCGGTCGTTCAGGCCCTGGACCAGACCAAAACCAAGATTAGGACTAAGACCAAGACAGAGAGCAAGATTAGGACCAAGACCAATTTTAGGGGCGAGATCAAGATTAGGACCAAGACCAAGAGTGAGACCGAGAATAGGAGCGAGACCGAGACTGAGAGAGAGATTATGACCAAGACCAGAGCGAGATTAGGCTCGAGACAAAAGAACAAGATCGAGATTTGGACCAAGGCCAAGACTTAGAGCGAGATTATGACTGAGACCAAGACCGAGAGAGAGGTTAGGACCGGGACAAAGTGTCAGACTTGAACATGAAGTCAAAATAAAAATAATTAATAAAATTACATGTTCTTGGTTGAGGCCAGAGATTTATTTTTCTTTAAGTACTATCTACCCATTGATAGGTAAAAAGTGAGACAAAAGAGAGACCAGAGAGAGAGACCAGAGAGAGAGACCAGAGAGAGAGACCAGAGAGAGAGACTAGAAAGAGACCAAAGAGAGACCAGAGAGAGAGACAATGGCGTCTGTGTGTTCCAGTTAAATTCCCTGTGCTCTTTCCCTCTTGTTCCTGAGGGTTTGTTCTGTGGTTCTTGTCTTTTTCCTCAGTTCCTGTGTGTCAACATTCAGTTCAGTTTTGCTTTGTTTCAAAATATATATATATTTTTAAACGTGACAAGAGGGAGAGACCCTCTGTCAATATGGGCTGGGTTTCTCACATTTTTCCCACTGGGTTTAAGTGGTTCTTCTCTGATGGTCTGAGGACATGATCCGAGACGAATATAAACATTTCGCCTGTATTTGTTTTTTTTTGTTGTACTTCTTGTATTTGAATGGTTTGATTTTCTGATCTGTTATTGGCGAAACCACAACTTTTTAAAGCCCTCTGAGACACTGCTGCTGTGATTTAGGGCTAAATTCTAAATTAATTGAATTGAAAAGAGAGCAGAATGGGGCTTTGGGATGCCAGTTTGTTGGTGAAATGTCGCTGGTCTTGGCTCTGCCAAAGATTCACAGAGTTTGAACCGTTTCTGACTAAACCCCAGAAGGAGAGACCAGGGAGAGAGACCAGAGAGAGAGAGCAGACAGAGACCAGAGAGAGAGAGACTAGAGAGAGAGACCAGTGGATAGCACTCTCGCCTCTCAGCAAGAAGGTCCTGGGTTCGAATCCCGGTCGGACCAGGGCCTTTCTGAGTGGAGTTTGCATGTTCTCCCCGTGTCTGCGTAGGTTTCCTCCGGGTACTCCGGTTTCCCCTACCATTAAAAATATGTCCAATAGTTCTGGCATGCGCCTCCTGTACTGGCGACCCTGCTCCCATCTCTGTGTGGAGTGAGAGACAAATGCCCATAATTAACAATTGTAAACCGCTTTGAGACTCAGATCTGCAGTGAAAAGGCGGTATATAAATAAAAACTTACTTACTTACTTACTTACAGAGAGAGACACCAGAGAGACGGACCAGGGAGAGACCAGAGAGACCAGAGAGAGAAAGCAGAGGGAGACAAGGGAGAGACCAGTAAATCACTTTTTTTTAGTGTTGCTACTGTTCAAATCAATAAATACATCAATAGTAGGCTGGCTGATAAGCGTTTGGAGAAGCAGGGCTGGTGAAAAACTTTGAGTTTGAAGAGGAAATCCTAAAGTCATGGTTGTCCTCCCTCCACCTTCCCCTCCGCCTCCACCTACCCCTCCGCCTACCCCTCCACCTCCACCTCCACCTCCACAGTCTCTCACCTGCAGCTGCTCCTTCTCGTTGCTTCTCACCAGTTTCAGTTCGTGGTTGAGCGCCGCGTTGTGGCCCGAGTCCGTGCGCGTCAGCGGCAGGAACGCGCCTCCAGACGGGCCGGTCCTGCGCTGTGGCCCCGGGGAGCGAGCGGACGGGGAACCGGAGAAGCGTGAGGAGGAGTCCCCGGAGGAGGAGGAGCGCACAGAGGCCCCGAAGAGGCGGCGGTACGAGGAGTGCTCCCCCGGGTTCATGTCTGCGGCTCTGGATCAGGATCAGAGACAGGACAGGACCGGGTTTAGAGGCTTAAGGCGCGGGCAGGAGGAGGAGGTGCACGGGCAGAGATTAGAGAAAGTTGCCAAAGACTGAACTTTAACCTTTTAAGTTCAAAGCTGACAGGGCCGGGGCCTGTTCAGGTTCAGGGCCCTGCGGTCCGAGGTTTCTCACTTTTTCCCACTGGGTTTTGGGGTGCTATAAGTAGTGACGACACAGGACATTTATTATCATTTATGAACGTTGGCTATACCCGCATGTGAAAGCCAGATCCCATTGGACCTCTGTAGCTAAGCAGAGCAGGGTATGGTTAGCGCTGTGATGGGAGACCTCAGATGCCTTTTGGCAAGATACTGAATCCACATGTAAGTAAGCTTGACATGACATAGAATGAGTCTGGTGTGTGAATGGGAGGTGGTGAACCTCGACTCTCCTCATACTCTACCCTGATTGGGAGCGTTTCCTCTGGTCCTGTGTAACCAGGTTCTTCTTTAGTCCCTCTTGGACCTGGTTCTATCCAGGCCCAAGGTACTAAAGTGCTCTAACTGACAGTGATTGGCCAGAGTGCTGCTGGAATCCCGAGTTACCCCGAATACTGTTTGTTGTGGGTATCAGATACTGTAGAGTAGAGTAGAGTAGAGAAGAGTAAAGTAGAGTACAGTAGGGTAGAGTAAAGTAGAGTATAGAGTAGATTAGAGTATATAGTAGAGAAGATTAGAGTATAGTAGAGTAGAGTAAAGTAGATTGGAGTATAGTAGAGTAGAATAGAGTATAGAGTAGAATAGAGTAGAGGTGAGTAGAGTAGAGTGATGAGGAGAGCTAATATTTCTGTGAAAGTGGGAACAGTTTTGTGAATTATTGGATATTTGAAGGCAGACTCTGAGTTTCCTTGTGCATGAACTGTGCTTTACAAATAAACTCTGATTTTACTGAGTCTAAACTACTCTTGTGTTTGGTCAAAGTTTTCACCCGCAAGGCGGGTTAGAGGCCCAAACACCAGCCTGTGTCACTCAGAGAGACCTGGGCTTTTACATTTCATTAAAATTCTCTCACGTTAATAAGAAAAAAGCTTTAGTTAAAAGCTCAACAAAGACAATATGTGATATCACGTTATCGGACTGTTGTGGCAAAGAGGGAGCAGCGTCTGCAGTGAGAGCTCTCCCTCGCCTCTGGTCCTGAGCTTTGGGTGATGACTGAAAGAACAAGATAGCGGATACAGGTCCTCTGCAGAGTGACTGGGCTTAGCAGGACCAGAGAGAGCAGGACCAGAGAGAGCAGGACCAGAGAGAGCAGGACCAGAGAGAGCAGGACCAGAGAGAGCAGGACCAGAGAGAGCAGGACCAGAGAGAGGAGGACCAGAGAGAGGGAGACCAGAGAGAGCAAGATCAGAGAGAGAAAGACCAGAGAGAGCAAGACCAGAGAGAGCAAGACCAGAGAGAGCAAGACCAGAGAGAGCAAGACCAGAGAGAGCGAGACCAGAGAGAGCGAGATCAGGGAGAGCGAGACCAGAGAGAGCAGGACCAGAGAAAGCGAGACCAGAGAGAGCAGGACCAGAGAAAGCGAGACCAGAGAGAGCAAGATCAGAGAGAGAAAGACCAGAGAGAACAAGACCAGAGAGAGCGAGATCAGAGAGAGCGAGACCAGAGAGAGCGAGATCAGAGAGAGCGAGACCAGCGATTGAAAGACCACAGAGAGGGACCAGAAAGAGACACCAGAGACAGAGAGACGTGATAGAGGGACCAGACAGAGACCAGAGAGAGAGATACACCAGAGATAGAAAGTCCAAAGACAGAAAGAAAGACTTGAGAGAGACCAGACAGAGACAAGAGAGGGAGACCAGAGAGAGTCCAGAGAGGGAGACCAGAGAGAGACCAGAGAGGGAGACCAGAGAGAGACCAGAGAGGGAGACCAGAGAGAGACCAGAGAGAGATCAGAGAGGGAGACCAGAGAGAGACCAGAGAGGGAGACCAGAGAGGGAGACCAGAGAGAGACCAGAGAGGTCTCACTTCTGGCCTCACATCTTTCGATCAGCGTTTTTTTCCGTTGCTTATACTGAGGCTGCTCCGTGAACCGGCAGCGGATAAAGCGGAAGAAAATGGATGGATAGATGGTCTCGTGTACCGTGGTCTTGTTGTGAAACCGTGTAATGTGTGTTGTTTGCCTCTGCGTCCGTCGCTCTGTCTGCTCTGCTCTGGTTTCACTGCTCATTCATTATTAACAGCAGTCGCTTCACAAAACAAAACTCACAGACACAAAGCACCAAGTTTCACTGATTTATTATTAGAGACTTTTAGGATGTGATGTGTTTGTTTATGTGTGTGGTTCTATTCCATCTGTCCATTTTAAAGCTGGGATACTGAAGCAGATACGAGAGAGACAAGGAAGAGACAAGAGAGAGACCAGAGAGAGACCAGAGAGAGACAAGGGAGAGACAAGAGAGAGACCAGAGAGAGACAAGAGAGAGAGACCAGAGAGAGACAAGGAAGAGACAAGAGAGAGACCAGAGAGAGACAAGGGAGAGACAAGAGAGAGACCAGAGAGAGACAAGAGAGAGACCAGAGAGAGAGAGAGAGACAGGGGAGAGATTAGAAAGAGAGAGAGACTAGAAATAAACCAGAAAGAGACCATAGAGAGACCAGAAAGAGACCATAGAGAGACCAGAGAGAGACCGGAGAGACCAGAGAGAGACCAGAGAGAGAGACCAGATAGAGACCGGAGAGACCAGAGAGAGCGACTGGAGAGGGAGACCAGAGAGAGACCAGAGAGAGAGACTCAAGAAAGATTCACCACAGAGAGAGAGACTACAGAGAGACCAGAGAGAGACCAGAGCAAGAGACCAGAGAGAGAGACCTCATTAATATATTTCTGGCCTCTGCCACATCTTTAGATCAGCTTTTTCAGACAGAAAAGTGAAAGAGAGAGGACCACCTTCTCTCAGCCAATCAGTTCTCAGCCCGAAGAGTCAAATAGTGACTCAAAGGGATCTATCTTACACAAAAGATACATATTTGCTAATGAAAGAAAGACGGCATGTTGTGGTCTGATTTGTTCACAACATTTTACTTAGACTCTCTCTGTTGAGGAAAATGTCTTCAGTCTTGCACTATCGTCTGTCACCAGCAGAGGGCGACAGAAGCTAAGAATAGCGCCTGTCTGAAGCCATGTTGTCGTGTTTTGTTTCGTCAGGAGACTGGTCAGTGGGAGACAGATGCAGAAATAAAGGAGCCAAGCAGGTGCAGAGGGGGAGAGGGCAAACCAGGGCATGTGGACGATACACAGAAACATGGTGACCAAACACTTCTGGTATTGAGAGAGACAGGCCAGAGAGAGACCAGAGAGAGCAAAGAGAGAGGCCAGAGAGAGAGGCCAGAGAGAGACCAGAGAGAGCAAAGAGAGAGGCCAGAGAGAGAGGCCAGAGAGAGACCAGAGAGAGATCAGAGAGAGAGACCAGAGAGAGAGGCCAGAGAGAGACCAGAGAGATCAGAGAGAGACCAGAAAAAGGCAAGATAAAGAGAGACCAGAAAGAGACCCGTCAGGGACCAGAAAGAGAGAGACTAGAAAGAGGCCAGGGAGATAGAGACCAGTGAGAGACCAGAGAGAGGGACAAGAGAGAGGAACCAGAGAGAGAGAGAGAGAGACTAGAGAGAGGGGTCAAAGAGAGACCAGAAAGAGACCAGAGAGAGGAAAGAGAGAAGAACCAGAGAGAGAGACTGGAGAAACAGGCCATAGTGAGACCAGAGACTGGAGAGAGAGGCCAGATCGAGGGACCAGAGAGAATCCAGAGAGACCAGAGAGAAACTAGATAGAGTCTAGAGAGCTGGTCATTCTGTTTTCAGTTCAGTTCAGATTGTTTATTTGAGCTCAGAGCAATAATGCAACAAAAATACTAAGTTTAATTTTTAATATAGAACTCAAAAAGAGGAGACAGAAGTGAGAAATACTTCTCAGCACCTCCCCCTTCATGTATGACAGAGAAACACATGTAAACATCAATATGTTGAGAAAAAAATATACTGTTTAACAACGGAATAGACTATGATGTGACTGTCTCTTTGTGACACGTATGTCTTTCGATGTGTGACGTGACAATGACTATATAAACTGTGTACTGCCTTTATTCTGTCTGGGAGAAAGAAACAAAGTAAACCAGTGGAACTTGAGAGAAACTTAAATAAACTTCCAGAGTTTGGCGCACCACGATCCGTCTCTGTCTGCCTCATCCCTAACATACCTAAATTTGGTTTCATACATTATGGCTTTCTGCTACCAGCTTATTATTTATCTCTCAGGTCTCTCTCTGGTCTATCTCTGGTCTCTATCTGGTCTCTTTCTAGTCTCTCTCTGGTCTATCTCTGGTCTCTCTCTTTCTGGTCTCTCTTTCTCAAGTACTCTCTGGTCAGATAGATACTAGAGACCAGTGAGACACCAGAAACAGATTAGAGGGAGTGAGAGACCAGAGAGACCAGTGAGAGACCAGAGAGAGACACACCAGAGACAAGAGAGAGACAAGAGAGAGACCAGAGAGAGACCAGAGAGAGACCAGGGAGATAGACAAGAGAGAGAGAGCAGAGAGAGACCAAAGAGAGAGCAGAGAGACCATATAGTCTTGAAATACTGAAATATAATTCTCCTTCATGGTTCAGTCCTGACATTAGTGCTTTCGTCCATTGTGCCTCTTCAGTCTCTTCGCCTCCTGTTGACCAGGCCCCTCTCTCCTTATATGGTCCCGGTGTGGAGACGTGACCGCGCTCCGACACGCGAGCTCCACTCTCCTCGTGCACGCGCTGTGAGCATGCACGAGGCTGTCTGTCACACGCACGCATCACGGAGACGTTCAGGGGCCAAGGGAAAAGACGTTGAAAGAGGTTGAAATAGTCTGATTCTTTAAAGAGTACACCTGTATTAAAGCTGGGGTACTTAACTTTCAGGCAGTGAACTATGTAGGATAATCTTAATTTGAATCTCAATAAAAATATGCAAGTTCCAGTTTGAGAGAGAGAGAGAGAGAGAGAGAGAGAGAGAGAGAGAGCGAGAGAGCGAGAGAGTATGGAGAGACTAGAAAGAGAGAGCAGAGGGACAAGAGAAAGAGACTGGAGAGACTAGAGAGACGCCAGAGAGAGAGAGAGAGAGAGAGAGAGAGAGAGAGAGAGAGAGAGAGAGAGAAGAAAGACCAGAGAGACTGGAGAGACTAGAAAGAGAGACGAGAGAGCAGAGGGACAAGAGAGATACCAGATGGAGAGAGAGAGAGAGACAAGAGAGCGAGAAGAAAGACCATTAAGACGAGAGAGACTGGAGAGACTAGAAAGAAAGAGCAGAGGGACAAGAGAGGCACAAGATGGAGACAGAGAGAGAGAGAGAGAGAAAAATAAATATAATTATAATGCTTCTTTGTCCCGAGTCTTTCCAGATTGAATGTATAAGGTAAAAAAGCCTCCTCACCTGTATCCTCTGTCTTTCTCTCTCAGACTTCCCACGGGCCCTGAACGCAGCATCAGTCTCGTCTCTTCTGCAGCGGGAGCCAATCATCAAACTTCATTCACAGTTTCAGCTGGTTCTCTTTCCCGTGAGCAGATAGACCAGAGAGAGACCAGAGAGAGAGACCAGAGAGACCAGAGAGAGACCAGAGAGAGAGACCAGAGAGACCAGAGAGAGACCAGAGAGAGAGACCAGAGAGAGACCAGAGAGAAAGACCAGAGAGACCAGAGAGAGACCAGAGAGAGAGACCAGAGAGACCAGAGAGAGACCAGAGAGAGAGACCAGAGAGAGACCAGAGAGAAAGACCAGAGAGACCAGAGAGAGACCAGAGAGAGAGACCAGAGAGACCAGAGAGAGACCAGAGAGAGACCAGAGAGAGAGACCAGAGAGACCAGAGAGAGACCAGAGAGAGACCAGAGAGAGACCAGAGATAGACCAGAGAGACCAGAGAGAGACCAGCAAGAGACCAGAAAGAGACCAGAGAGAGACCAGAGAGAGAGACCAGAGAGAGACCTGTTACTGCTGTTAACACCAAGATCTGTTTTTAACAAAGGCTGTTTATGTGGAACTCGACTAATAATTATTATAATCGATGTGCATTGATCTAAAGCTCTGTTTGACTCTAATCTGTCCTAGAGAGACCAGAGAGGGACCTGATAGAGACCTGAGAGAGACCTGAGAGAGACTAGAGAGAGAACAGAGAGAGACCTAAGAGAGACCAGAGAGAGACCAAAGAGAGACCAGAGAGAGAGAGAGAGACCAGAGAGAGACCTGAGAGAGACTAGAGAGAGACTAGAGAGAGAACAGAGAGAGACCTAAGAGAGACCAGAGAGAGACCAAAGAGAGACCAGAGAGAGAGAGAGAGACCTGAGAGAGACTAGAGAGAGACCAGAGAGAGACCAAAGAGAGACCAGAGAGAGACCAAAGAGAGACCAGAGAGAGAGAGAGAGAGAGAGAGAACAGAGAGAGACAAGAGAGAGAGAGAAACCATATAGAGAGAGACCATAAAGAGACCAGAGAGAGAGAGAGAGAGAGCCCAGAGAGACAAGAGAGAGACTGGAGATGTGAGTGTTTGTAGCGGTAGCATCACAAACGCTGGTTCTGAGTCTGCGTTTGAAAGTGTGATTTGCAGTCTGCGTTTCTGTCGCGGAGTCTGACAGCGGCTGAGGGAGTGAACTAAAAATAGCCCGAGAGCAGAGTGGCTGATACCATCACCATAATGCTGCTGCTTCTGCTGCTGCTGCTGCTGCTTCTGCTGCTGCTGCTGCTGCTGCTGCTGCTGCTGCTTCTGCTGCTGCTGCTGCTGCTGCTGCTGCTGCTGCTGCTTCTGCTGCTGCTGCTGCTGCTGCTGCTGCTGCTTCTGCTGCTGCTGCTGCTGCTGCTGCTGCTGCTGCTGCTCCACAATTCAGATCGAGAGCATTTGAGACGTCCTCGTTGAAATGTAACTGTTTTTATAATCTGTAATTGTATGTAACAGTGGCTCAGTTGGTAGAGCATTGGCCTTTGAGCCTGAAGGTCGTGGGTTCGAGCCCACCATAAGACCTACTTCACGACTCCCACCGATGACTGCTGTCGTTGTGTCCTTGGGCAAGACACTTAACCCACTTTGCCTGAAGCCCCTGTTGAAAGATCCAGGCTCCTGTGGACTCAGCACCTGCTGGAGGATCAGTGAGGGGCTGGTGCTCTGTGACTGGGTGCAGCTCTGACTGACACCCCCCGACCCAGAAATGGATTAAGGGGAAGAAAATGGATGGATGGAAAAGAGCATGTTTTATTCATGCATTTTGACAGATTAGGGCCCTTTAATGATGACTTGACTTGAAAATCTTACAGCTACTGTAAAGGTATATAGGAGGATTTTCCCAAATTTTAGGAGAGAACCGCCTTCCCACTTTTTGAATAAAACTCTCCGGTCATGTTTGGGTGACAGTAGCTCAGTTGGTAGAGCATTGGCCTTTGAGCCAGAGGGTCGTGGGTTCAAGCCCGACCTTCACCATCGACTCCCACTGATATCTGCTGTCGTTGTGTCCTTGGCAAGACACTTAAAGGACAACTCACCCTCAAATCCACTTTTTTTTGCTGATAAACGGTATAAATGAGTGTCCAATAGTGTTGTATACATATCCTGGTCATAATCTTGTCACTTTGGTGCAAATTAGTTGAAAGTTAAACTTTCTGCCTAAAACCGTCTGTGAGGCGCCATCTGCTGGCGACCTGTATTACTACATTTGAATTTTGAATCTGGCGCCAACACTGGCACAGAAGTTGGACCTGACGTCTGCAAGTTGGACCTGACGTCAGCAGCCCCCCGCCCAGAGCAATGTAAACGGCCCAGTCTCGTTCACGCCCCCTTTAGTCCTCCAGGCTACGCCCATTTAGAGGAAGATTTGAACAGGAAATGTGAGTAACGAAAGCTCCGAGGAGCGGGGGTGAGAACCACTTTAACCTCTGGGAACACCAGATGCCACAGTGGGGCGGCTGTAAAGTGCCAAACTGCTGTTGTGTCCTTAGGCAAGACGCTTTACCCTAGAATGAGTGTGTGAATGGTTGGTGGTGGTGGGAGGGGCCGATGGCACAGACTGGTTGCCTCGCTTCTGTCAGTGTGCCCCAGGGCAGCTGTGGCTACAGTAGTAGTTTATCACCACCGTGTATGGAGTGAATGAATAATGAACATGTGAAGTGTCTTTGAGTGTCCAAAAAAGCGCTATATAAAACCAATGCATTATTATTTGACGAGAACGTATCACCACAACAGGGAGGGCCAATAATCTTGATGATCCACCCGGAAGTAGAAAATCCTCCTAAACATATTGCGATTCATGTCCCTTATATTATTACATTACAGAAACTGAGGAGAATAAAGTGAGTACGGCGACAGTGACACATGTGGTTCTGTGTTGCACATTCTGACATTAACGAGATTATTATTGCACCGAAAACTGTTAAAAAGATCCATTTTGCCTCATATTGTGCGTTTGTCAAAACAGCTTTTTAGTCTGATGTAGTGTGTGTCCGAATGCCAGAGACCAGGGAGAGAGTAGAATGAGACTAGAGAAAGACTAGAGAAAGACCAGAGAGAAACCAGAGAAAGACTAGAGAGAGACCAGAGAGAGTCCAGAGAGAGACCTGAGAGAGACCAGAGAGAGACCTGAGAGAGACCAGAGAGAGACCTGAGAGAGACCAGAGAGAGACCAGAGAGAGACCTGAGAGAGACCAGAGAGAGACCTGAGAGAGACCAGAGAGAGACCAGAGAGAGACCTGAGAGAGACCAGAGAGAGACCAGAGAAAGACCAGAGACAGCGCAGAGAGACCAGAGAGAGACCAGAGAGAGACCAGAGAAAGACCAGAGACAGCGCAGAGAGACCAGAGAGAGACCAGAGAGAGACCTGAGAGAGACCAGAGAGAGACCTGAGAGAGACCAGAGAGAGACCTGAGAGAGACCAGAGAGAGACCTGAGAGAGACCAGAGAGAGACCAGAGAGAGACCTGAGAGAGACCAGAGAGAGACCTGAGAGAGACCAGAGAGAGACCAGAGAGAGACCTGAGAGAGACCAGAGAGAGACCAGAGAAAGACCAGAGACAGCGCAGAGAGACCAGAGAGAGACCAGAGAGAGACCAGAGAAAGACCAGAGACAGCGCAGAGAGACCAGAGAGAGACCAGAGAGAGACCTGAGAGAGACCAGAGAGAGACCAGAGAGAGACCAGAGAGAGACGAGAGAGAGACCTGAGAGAGACCAGAGAGAGACCTGAGAGAGACCAGAGAAAGACCAGAGAGAGACCAGAGAGAGACCAGAGAGAGACCTGAGAGACCAGAGAAAGACCAGAGACAGACAAGAGAGAGACCAGAGAGAGACCAGAGTCAGCGCAGAGAGACCAAGGAGAGACTATAAAGATCTGAGAGACCAAGGGAGACCAGAGAAGAGACCACAGAGAGAGACCAGAGAGAGACCAGAGAGAGAGAGAGACTAGAGAAGCCAGAAGAGAGACCAGACCAGAGAGAGACCAGAGAGAGTCCAGAGAGAGACCTGAGAGAGACCAGAGAGAGACCAGAGAGAGACCAGAGAGAGACCTGAGAGAGACCAGAGAGAGACCAGAGAGAGACCTGAGAGAGACCAGAGAGAGACCTGAGAGAGACCAGAGAGAGACCAGAGAGAGACCTGAGAGAGACCAGAGAGAGACCAGAGAAAGACCAGAGACAGCGCAGAGAGACCAGAGAGAGACCAGAGAGAGACCAGAGAAAGACCAGAGACAGCGCAGAGAGACCAGAGAGAGACCAGAGAGAGACCTGAGAGAGACCAGAGAGAGACCTGAGAGAGACCAGAGAGAGACCAGAGAGAGACCAGAGAGAGACCAGAGAGAGACCTGAGAGAGACCAGAGAGAGACCTGAGAGAGACCAGAGAGAGACCTGAGAGAGACCAGAGAGAGACCAGAGAGAGACCTGAGAGAGACCAGAGAGAGACCAGAGAAAGACCAGAGACAGCGCAGAGAGACCAGAGAGAGACCAGAGAGAGACCAGAGAAAGACCAGAGACAGCGCAGAGAGACCAGAGAGAGACCAGAGAGAGACCAGAGAGAGACCAGAGAGAGACCAGAGAGAGACCAGAGAGAGACGAGAGAGAGACCTGAGAGAGACCAGAGAGAGTCCAGAGAGAGACCAGAGAGAGACCAGAGAGAGACCAGAGAGAGACCAGAGAGAGACCTGAGAGACCAGAGAAAGACCAGAGACAGACAAGAGAGAGACCAGAGAGAGACCAGAGTCAGCGCAGAGAGACCAAGGAGAGACTATAAAGATCTGAGAGAGACCAGAGGGAGACCAGAGAAAGACCACAGAGAGACCAGAGAGAGACCAGAGAGAGACCAGATAGAGACCAGAGAGAGGCCAGAGAGAGACCAAGGAGAGACTAGAGAGAGATCTCAGATCAGAGAGAGAGACCAGAGAAAGAGCAGACAAACCAAGGAGAGAGACATTTGAGAGTGACCAGAGAGAGACCTGAGAGAGACCAGAAAGAGACTAGAGA